TGTATATTTATGTGTTTCAGCTTGGATCATTGGTTAAGAAGAGACGTGTTGAATGAAAAAATTTGCTGCTTAAAGAGATTATGGTTGGTCGTCTCTGCATGTCTTATCCTAATTGCATTTTATGATTGATAACTACGTAATACTTATTGCCAAATACACTATTTACAAATATATATATATGTAATGATAACATTTTTATTTAGAAACAATGGTGACATGGTCAGTGAATGATGAATTGCATAACTTGTACATCTTTGCGAAATGTGCTGATTTAGCGAATAAAATGAAACCTTTAATAAACTTTTGTATATTGACTGAATTTCATTTGATTGTGTCATCATTTCTTAATAAATATCAATTATATTCTCAATGATAAATATTTCACAATATATATAGTTGTATATTTGGACAAATTATATCTTACATTAATTTTTTTTATTCTCATACAAAAATAGCAATTACATTAAAATATTTTTAAGAATTTACGATTTCTCGTAGCGTTTTTTGTACTCGCCATGCGGATCGTATTTAGCAACAAGAAGATCCCAATCTCTGGATCGTTTTGCTTTAAGATGATTTATCACCTTCTCCGCCATAACTTTTTGTTTATCGTTGCATTTACTGCAATTGCTCGATAAAGCATCCGGCAGAGTTTCTATAAATAAAAAAGTATATTTTGTTATTTTGGTATTAAATAGCTAAAACTTAAATTAGTTCCAAACACACGGCATAATATATTCAATGAATGTATTGTAGTATTAATTATACTTTTATAAAAGCATAATCGAACAAAGATTTCTTGCACAAATCTGTTAAATTAGTAAAAAAACTGGAAAAAATCTATAAAATTAGTAGAATTGGGAAAAAATAATAATTACAATTATATACAACATATGTATATACATATATGTGTATATTACAATCACGGGTTTTATCAATATCGAATAAGGGAAATTCTGACATATTTGTACGAAAATGTTCATCCTTCAACTATATGATTTAAATTCTCGTTTTTCATAAAAAGTATCAATAAAAGTTCCGAATGATGAATTATATACTTTTAATTGCTGACTAAACATTGATCTTAATTTCAGACTTCAAGAATTCTCAGGACGATCCCGTTTGCATACATTTCTGATTGCACATCATGACTCACGTCAGCTCTTGTCTAAAAATTTTTCACTGCGTGTGTCATCTATAAGAATATTTTATATTAAATTAATGAATTAGTGATGTGCGCCATATGTGTGCAATCGGAATTCTTTCGAATTCTCATATATAAATATAACTACCAACTGAATTTTTATATTTTGTGAACTAGATCTAGTCTAGTTACTAATAGACCTTAATTTTGATTTTCATGTTATTACATAAATTTGTATAATGTAGTTTTTATATAATCTCATCAATTTCTTTTATTAAATTGATACTTTTTATGAAATTACTGCTCATTCCATGGCTTTATTATTTCAAAAAAAAATTTTTATATTATATTACTATAAAATGTTTAAATTTAATATATAATTAACATTATAATTATTAATATTTAAATGTAACAGTATTAATGATTAATTAAATGCACGCTGTGTTTCATTGTAATTGAAATTTTTTATACAAGTTGGAATACTTTTCAGAGAATTATTGAGAAAGTTTATATCTTCTTTTTTAAATTTTTTTATATTTGTATGTGAATTTTAATATGCTCTAAAAATGTAATATACTCTATAAAAGATAGTGAATTTTAAAATATTTTATAAAATATTTTACTTTTAAGATTTTCCTTATTCTGTGTAATTTTTGAAAAAGACTTATAAAGTTCGAAGATATTTTACAGAAATCTTTATAAATTTGAAATATAACAAATTTTTACAGATATTAGAATATTTTCATTAGAGATAATAAATAAAAATATTGATAAAGATTAAAACTTGACTGTTTACAAATTGGTGAAATTTATAATATAAAAATTCTGTATCTTAAACATAATATAATGTACAGATGCAAATATAAAATGAAATTTACAATTCACAAACTTTATAAGATAAAGTTCACATAAATGTAACTTTATATTGAATAACAATATAAATACGATATATATATACACAATTCAAAAATTATGTAAATTCAATAATATAGAGTTTACGTATGTGCAAACTTCACACGTTACCGCTATTACGTACATGTAAAAGAAAGCCCGGATGTAACACGCGCGAGAAAGTTCATAGCAATAATTATGTAACAGAGAGAGAGTGTATATTGAATTCTCTGCTGTAATTACAATTACAGTCTATATATTTGTTCGTTCTGTGTTTGAGTATTTTCTAATTGAAAAATTCCAAGCAAAGTGTTGAATATTTAGTTTTATTTCAAGTAAAAAATAAGAACAGAAACGTCATTGTAACTTTTAAGGTTTCAATCAATTAAATGATCTATGCTCGACTCTTCAATTTCTTCTTTTCTACTTACTTCTCAGCTCGCGACCTTCAGCGGTGCAAGGTCCCTCGTCCATTAGGCACCGAATGTAATTGGTGAGAACACGATTATTTTGGAGGATCTTGTCCACGTTTACATCGTCGTATTTTCTGGTATACTTTTCGTTTGCGATGGCCGAAGTCACCAGTGAGACCAATAAAACCAGAAAATATCCCTTCATCGTACGATATTATAGGTGCAGAAAAAAAATCAATGAATATGAAAAAAGAATTTTTTTAGCTGACGAGATCGCAGGCAAGAACGAAAAACTAAAGCGATCCATCAGTGGCGGTTGGCTTTTATATAGTCGAGTGGAGGATGGAGGATGTGGAGGCCGAACGGAGGGGCCTCTTGTCGCACAATATCCCGAACATTCCAATTGCCTCCCAAGTATACAGTGTGGATGCTTTCCAAGAAACATAGATACTTTATACTAGTGTAACACATAGTGAATCGTAATTATATATTCTTGTTGTTTGTCAATATTAAACAAAGATGAAATAATCAATGATGTACGTTACACTAATGTATGTTTTGCTGAAAGCATCATATTATAATATATCTAAATGCTTATGCTCTACCAACATTTTAATTATTCATTTCACTCCTATCTATATCGATTTAATTATGATTGAAATGATACAACATATTCTCGACAAAAGTATTAGATATATATTATAAGTTGTATAAAAACTATCAATTTTCATCTGTACATATCGGTGTAATAAATTTCAATCTTGACTAAATTTTTAATTATATGTAATTCCGAAAGTATATAATAAATACGATTAGTAATTGTAATAAAATTATCTTGAATTATCAGAGAATTTTCAAGTTGTCTTATAAAATGTATTGACATGTCTTTTTGTATGTATATTACAACGTTAGAATCTTTTATCTACTAATTGTAAGTTATTAAAATGCATAACCTGTCGAGTCTTTGACCTACTTTATTAGCGGATTACACCGAGAGAAACTTAATTGGTAAAATCGTGTAGTTAAATTGTTTATCGTGCCAAAATGTAAAATATATTTGATATTATAAGATGTTGATTTATAAAATCGTATATTCTTATTATAATTTATTGATTTATTTAAGCTTTTCATGATAGAAATGCTACATTATTATATTTAAAAACAATTATGTTACATTTTTCCACTTTGAATTTTTTCCTATCAATACTTGTAACTTTAAAATAAAAATACATTAATGCGATGAATAAAATGCTTTCAAGAACCGTTCATGAAGTAATAGCGCATTAAATGACACTGTCGAAACATGTGACACATGAGGAGAAAGTGGTTGAAAAATTTTTCGATGAACTGTTATAAATGTATGTCCATAAAAATTAATACGTGCGTTTACTAGAGTGGAGCGGAAAAACGAAAAATTCAATACAGCGCATGTGAAAAATTTGTAGCAAGAGTCTATATATATAGAAACAGGCCTATGAAGTTTTATTTCGATAAAATAATTTTTACTGTTTACCGTGTATAAGCTATATTAATATTTTTAAGAACTAGCTGGTATAAGATGTCATTCCCTAATACATATCATATTTTAGGTTGATCGTTTAATAATTTTTAATATTATTTTTAATATAGATTTTCTATATTATTACTTATTTATTTATGTTTCAAGAATTGGAAATCAATTTTTAAATAAATTTTTTATCCCTACGTTTGGCCGTAGCAGCCATTTTAATAAATAGATAGCACATACAGCGATTTTACAGTTTTCAAGCATTTGCGTTAATTACTACACTTATTCTATTTATTCGATTTGAAAAAAAACCCTCATTCGCTTAGATTCGCGTAGATCTTTCTTTTACTCATTACAACTTTTTCCCTAAAGTTAATTTCACTTTCTATATTTCCGCCTTAGGGAAAAAGTTACTGGCTATATTGATATTCCCAGTATTCTCACTCGAGTGCGATCCAGGCCATTAGCTCGAATCTACGATAGATTTTCAGGCCTTAAGCCATAAGGAATGGATGAGTCACAATCAATTATTCTCTTCGCAATCGACCGTAGTTGGTCAATTTCTTACGACTTAGGCTTAAAACATCTATTGTAGATTCGGACTGATCGTCTTTTGTTTACCGACGAGACTACGAGAAAAATTTTGGACTCGAAATGTATAGTACACGTGACGTAAACTGTAGCATATAGAGTAAAATCTTCCTCGAAGAGGAAGTTTTGGAAACGTAGCCTCGCGAATATATTGAACAAGGCTGACCTGGGGCGCGATTCCGTAACTATTTTACACGCCTACCGACAGTTGTCGGTGTCGTTACGCAGCTTTTTCACCATATATAAAATATCTGCGCAACGACACCGACAACTGTTGGTAGTCGGTAGGCGTGTAAAGGCAGTTACGGAATCGCGCCCTTGACATCCGGGTGGGAATTACTGGGAATACTGGGAATCCGCACAGGTAATGTGCGAACACGCTCCTGGATACACGGTATTGGAAAAAAATCCCTATTGAGTTCATTCCGCGCCAAAAACCATCGGTCGGTCCGATCGGTCGGTCGGTCGGTCGTTCTCTCTTTGACCAATGTCGTCTGACCGATGAATGGAATGGGGGAAAAGATGGACGCCTTGACGTTGGGTTCGCACAGGTAAGGTGACACGACTGACAAGACTGACACAAATCTCCGCGTATTTCTCGATGAATGAAATGTTGCAACTCGATAAATCATCCTTTCTTTTTCAGGCTGGTCCACCTTGACTTGAAGGGCGCACCGCCGCGGACCTGCTACTTCGAAAAGGTACACGCGGCGTGTGAAGGCTTAAGAGTTAAGGCTAATAGCCTCTTCTCTCATCTCTGTGCGTCAACGCATTCAGAAACTCGCATCGTTTATTATTTTCCCCATTTAAAATTCGTGCGACAGGCACATTCCTCTTTCGCCTGAGCACTGTCCGGTATATAATCTTGATTTCTTTCGCTCGTTACGAATTGCGTTTTGAACTTGTCACACGCTCGTAGCTTTTGTTTACACTTGACTTTTATGATATGAGGAGAAACACGAAATACAAATGAATGCTACACCGTCGGAAATTGTCGGAAATTATAGTTTACTTATTAAGGTGCTTTCCAGCAAGAGAAAGTGTAACATTGTTTGTCCTTGTCCTTGTTTAATATTTGATAAACAACGATGATTCCACGAGCGTTGTGTTTGTGACGTTTGTCTCTTGCTGGAAAGCACCAATACTCGCAACTGGATCCAAAAATGTATTTCGATAGGTCTGGTGGATATGTAATGAATGAAAATTCAATGCTGTAAATAAGAATGCAATATATATATATATATATTTCATTGATGAACAAAAGATTAAACTCCTTACTGCATTTGCACTTCGTGTATTTGATTAATCGATGAATTAAAAAACAATTATGACCCAATATAATTTACAGCTCTTTCCACTGTTGCGAACATGGGGAGCTACTGGACTATTATTGGAATGGGAAGACACGTTTCCTTACAACCGAGAACTCTCTCCAATAGGAAGCAATGGTCCGAGCACCTTAGCGAGTGGATACACAATTCAGGAGGCTAGACATATCCTGCAGATTGCGGGTGATTGCGGTTTAGCAGTTGTTCCGTTGGTACAAACTTTTGGTCATATGGAGGTATAGCAAAAATTATTTCATCGATTTTATACCGGATTATTTTGTACGAAGCTTGTAGCTACTATATAAATGTAATCTCATATTTTTCTTATTTTCAAAATTGTAAAATTCAAGAGATTATTTTCAAATTCCAGTTTATTTTGAAACATGACGAATGGAGATCATTGCGCGAAGTGGAGCCTTTTCCAAGTTCTATTTGCCCATCAAATCCGAGAACTCTTCTAGTGGTGAAGTCGCTGATACGTCAGATTGTTAGCTTTCATCCTGATATACAGTATCTGCATATAGGGTCTGATGAAGTATGGCACCTAGGCCTTTGCTCAGTCTGCACCAAACGAGCTGCAGCTAGCAAATACGGCAAATCATCGTTGTATCTGGAACATATTCTGGCGATAGCCCAATACATTCAGGAAACCTATCCATATCTAAAGATCATCATCTGGGATGACATGCTGAGGTCGATAGACTTACAGGTTTTGAACGGTATCTTGCTGCAGCTTAATTGCATCATTTGATCGCGCAGATCTCTTCATGCGATCAATATTTCTTTCTTTTTGTAGAACATTACATCGGAAAATATGTGGAACCCATGGTGTGGCATTACAATCCCAGGGACAATTTTGCATTACCCGATGGTATTTTTTCTTTTTTCCTCTTTCAATACTTTTTTTCCTTTTTTATATACTAAGAAATTTAAAAATATTTGCTAGATTATGACCGTTAAATCAAATTATTAGGATTGTGGGATAAGTACAGCACGGTCTTTCCCAATATTTGGACAGCAACCGCATTCAAAGGAGCTACCGGTTCTACACAACATATACCTATAATACGACATCACATAAGCAATCATGAAAAATGGTTGGAAGAACTGGGAGTTCATGTAAGTAAGGTGCATGAATTTCGTGGTACAGCATTCACCGGCTGGTCAAGGTAAGATAAATAAAAAAATGTTCAAGAACTATCTTGAAATATTGATCATTGACTGTATGTATTGATCAATGTAATTTTAGGTATGATCATTATGCCACACTATGTGAATTGTTGCCCACAGCGATACCATCATTAGCTCTATGTTTGAAAGTTTGGCTCTATGGTTATTCGGAACAAACGCACACCCAGGTTGCAAAGAGCTTGGGATATATTGATCATCCGTTGCATATAACTCCACAACTTAGACCAGTCCCGATCCCTAGCAATTTACTTTTTCCCGGATGGCAAGTAGCTGTGGGTATGGAGTGGTTTCTTAACTTCAAGACAAAATTTCACAATATTATCACCAGTGATCAGTAAGTACAGAGAACTTTTTATATATCTATAATTTTTATTTTAAATTCGTAAAACATTCTTGACGATTGCTTTTGAAGAAATAGAATTATTTGCATATAAAATGGAACATCTTTAAGTATATCTTAAAAAAAAAAAAAAAAAAAAAAAAAAAAAAAAAAAAAAAAAA